GAAGTGAGATAGCAGAGAAGTAAACTGTTAGGATTGGTCTACATACAAGTTTCCACCAAAATAACATTCACACCTTTTATTACGTCAACGCAAGTCTGTGCACATATCCTGGGGAGTCATCTGAAGGGCAGACCACCTCCTGTTCCCATTAAGATGGATTAAATTGACAGCTGGTTTACAGTTATAGGTAGGCTATTTCTGGTGTGCTTCAGGTCCAAATTTGTGGGTAACAACATGATATCCATAGGTAGGCTCACAGCGCTATTTCTTATTTTGAAGCCTAAGGGAAGGTACAGCACTGCATACCAGGTCAATGGATGACACCAACCAGTACGTTTTTGTTTATCTTAATGAATTGTCTTGCAAACTGATGTCACAAAGTTCACTAAGGATATGGAGTCCAAGGTAAGTAAGAGCCTTTTTGTCATAATTTTTAAAGGGTATTTGCTAGAAATTGCTGTTATACTGATGTTTGAGCTGAAATCTAAACAAAAAACATTTTTTAGGCTGATAATCAGTAGTTTCTGAAGCTGGAGCCAATCACCCCAAGAAGATCAGGGAGTTTAGATTAAGGCTGGTGAAAGGGTCAGTTTAGAAGTCAGTGAGACAAGGGCAAGACGACCCACGAGAAACAGAATCAGGTATGGAAGGCAGAGGCTGGAAGGAGGCAGATTCCAGAGACCAACACTGAAAGTTAAAGAGCCCAGGAGGCAGACATCTGAAACTTTTGAATAAACATCCTTTTTAGAAAATAAGGTGTAATCAAGAATCATAACCTAGATTTCCCCCTAAAGTGTCAATAAAAATTTAGTAGGATAGCAACAAGGAAACAGTAGCACAATATCTCATTAGAAACAACGTTGAGAGGTAACTTAGGATTTGGTTCTTGGAAGGAAGGCATGTTCATTGGGCCTGATGCATACCATCAACTGTGTAGCAATGAGAATAATGGGTTCAACCTTAGGGGGGGAAAAAGAATGTCTTCAGGAAAACCCAGGAAAAGGAGGAAAAGTAAGCTGCTTTATAAGGGCTACAAAATGTAGCTAGTACCCTGGATTTAGAAATAAACAAACACAAGAAATACAAGAATTTTTAAAAGTGAGACAAAGGATAAATAGTTAACTTAAAGCAGAAATTAATACAGTAGGAGCAACTAGGTTAACTCAGACGTTTCAAATTGAGTCACAAAATGAACTAAATGAAATTTAAAAAAAGCAGGAAATATCGGTACAGGAAATTGAGGAATGGAAACAAAAAGCAAAAGACAGGCAAGTTGCCATGACAGTTGCAGGTAAAAAGAGAAAAGAAAGAAATCATGCATTTTGCAAAAGGCAAATAAATACACAAAAGGAAGAATTAAGAACAAGTAAAGGGCTAATAGCAGTAATAAAAACTGGAAGCGGTGAAGAAACAGTCAACATGAGGAGGATTTATACCATCCTTGTTGTTATTCAAAGAACTTCTCCCAGGACATTATAGTCCCATTGGTATGAATTCCTAGAGTTTATAGAATAAGTCCTCAGTGACTTGTTCTTGGAAAGTCTACCCATTAGAGAAACTATTAATCCAAATCTGACAGTAGAACCATCAACCCAAACAGTAAAACCACTAAGTCATACGGTGGAACAACCATCCTAAGTTATAATATCACTGTGGAAAGGCAGACATGAAAGACAGCTAGTAGACGTAAATAAAGATAAAAATTGACAACTATTGTCAATATATGTAATTCAACACACTTTCTTCTACATACTTCTTCAGAAATACCAGGAATATGGAGGCACAGGGAATAACAAGCAAAATTCCATAGAGTGTTCCACTGATAGTTGGCACAAGAAACAAAAAATAATGTGTATTTTGGAATCATGAAACTAAGCATAAATGGACCTAGAATAGTAGGGACTGATACTCTCCAAGTGATGCAATGCTCAATAGATCCTGTAAAAAGTATTCTATGGACAATACATTAATGAAATACAAGTCCTAAAAAGGCAGGGGGAAAAACATGAAAGGAAAAAAAACAAAGTAACAAAAAGATCTGAGGACCTCCCAGAATTAAGTGACCAGGAGATACTTAAAAAACAACAAATAGTCTTGCAGCGCCTTAGAAACTAACAAAAAATGAGGATGGTATCATGAGCTTTCGTGGGCACAACCCACTTCTTCATGAGATGTTAGAGATGCCCAAGAAGGACTATTAGAATTAATAGCAGCTGCAGAAGATGAGGATAATGGCATACACAAAGAGCTAGAAGAGGAAGAGATGCCAGCTATAGGGACAATCCACACCTATTTTTGCACTCATGTGGAAGACTTTTGGTCTCAATAGTGTTAATCCAGAGGAGGTGAAAATGCCAATGTTCCTAACTAGCCCAATATCAATTAATATAAAATTCCAACAACTAAATAATGTCTAGCTTGACTTGATGAATGGAGGGCAGGGTCATATGGAATAATCAGGGTGAATATTAGTGTAGAACACTAATTGTTACTGGTCATAGTTGAAAGCACATGGTACACAAGCTCCTTACAAAAAAAGATGGTACCCAACATTCCCCACAGATACAGACTCAGGTTCAGGAAAGGGTCTCAAATGGATAATATGATGTATATAGCTGATTTAATCAAACTATGAGGTACAAGGTGATGGGTGGTATCTAAGTAGTGTCAGAGGGTGGTATCCTGACACGTCATGAGTAATGTGTAACTTGTTTGTACCTGTATATAAAGTGGTGTGTTGGGGGGAATTTGTCCAGCCAGGGGACAGTGGGGGTGCATCTAGACTGGAAAGATTTTGCGCAAAAGCGGCTGCTTTTGTGTAAAAACTTGCCAGCTGTCTACACTGGCTGCTTGAATTTGCGCAAGAACACTGACATTGTAATGTACAAAATCAGCGCTTCTTGCGCTAATACTTTCACGCTCCTGCTCGGGAAAAAGCCCTCTTGCACAAGAATCCTTGTGCAAGAGGGCCAGTGTAGACAGAGAAGAACTGTTTTGCGCCAAAAAGCCCTGATGGCTAAAATGGCAATCGGGGCTTTCTTGCGCAAAATCGCATCTAGACTGGCCATGGATGCTTTTGCGCAAAAGTATCCATGCCAATCTAGACGCGCTTTTGCGGAAATACTTTTAACAGAAAAACTTTTCCGTTAGAAGTATTTCCGCAAAATCATGCCAGTCTAGATGCAGCCTGGGAGTTTCCCCACTGGTTGAGTGGAGTCCATTGTTACAATACCATGTGTGTAGTGACCCTGTGACCCCAAACCCTTTATCCCTAATTCCAGAGCCTGCACCCTAATCCTCAGCACAAGCCCTGAATCCGCTCCAGCACCATGAATGCCTCATCTTTGACCTTCCCCTTACAAGGCAGGTGGGCAGGGCAGGACTTGGACCTATTCTGGGCATCAACAAAAATTATACAAACCTGATGCCCCTGCATGAGAGATCATAGAAATGAATAGAGATTACTTCCTATGAAGAATGACTCAGCAAAATCCCATAGGAATACACTGTAGCCCACAGAGATCAATGGGACTTTCAGACAGGAAAAAGCTAGGGTTCATCTTAAGGACAGATGAAAAGAACATCATAGGAATGCATTGAGCCCCTAGAAGTCTATGGAACAGGGGAGAAGCTCTCAGTACATATGACTAATTAGTAAATGATAAGTGGTAAATAGCATAGGCTAATCCCTGGAAAGTGATTAATTCAGATGGCATGTCACATATGACAAATTAGCACGTGCAAATTCATGGAAGAGGATTGGATGGATTATAATAATAAATGAATAGCTAATAAACTGAAATCATATATAAAGGCATCAGCCAGCAGGCTACAACTCTGTAGGTGACCAGGAAGAGAGTGAAGCTCTGCTGGACACCTGGAAGGAAGAAAACACTTATGGGACAGTGGCAGCAGCTCCAATGGAACCCAGCCAAGGAAGAGTGGGTTGAAAACCAACAACTGAAACAGCAACTCATCCAAAGTCCCAGGTTACCTTAACAATGTCTGCTTCTGGCACTTGGCCATCAGGAGGCCTTTGCACCAGTCCAGCAGCAGCAACCAACAGGCTTCTATCTCTGCTGCCAAAGAGCAGTGCTCATGTCAGCAACAGCTCCTCACTTCAGCAGTAGCCTGCTGTGAACCCACCAGGAAACCTGCTCCCTGAAAACACACCAGGCCATAATTGGGGATTCTCTGCTACAAATTTTGGAGTAATGTGAACTTAGGAATAAGTGTTCTATTTCAATGTTTTTATTCCAAAGTAAGTGTTCCCCTACAGACTTGCACTGAAATAACGAAAGTAACAATATTACAACAGATTTTTGTATTATGGTGTAAATGTTTTGAGGAAGGACAGCTTTGCGCAAAAGGGGGCTTTTGCCCAAAAAGGAGCTGTCTATACAGCTCTTTTTTGCGCAAAAACCTCTTGCACAAAAGGGATCCAAAGAAGAAATACAAATGAGAGTGTGACCTATGCAAATGAGTACTTCATTTGCATTTCCTCTTGTAGAAAAGGCTTGCAGTATAGACGCCGCCACAGTCAACCTGTGGAACTCCTTGTCAGAGGATGTTATGAAGAACTTTAACAGGGTTCAAAAAAGGGGTAGATAAATTCTTGGAGGTTAGATCCATCAATGGTTATTAGCCAGGATGGGTAGGAATTGTGTCCCTAGCCTCTGTTTGTCTGGAAACAGATGACAGGAGAGGGATCACATGATGATTACCCGTAGTTTACTTCCTCTGGCACATCTCTCATTGTCCACTGTCAGCAGATAGGATACAGGGCTAGATGGACCTTTGGTATGACCCACTATGGCCATTCGTATGTTCAGGAGCCAAATTAGCAATCAATATTACCCAAAAGCACCACAGCAGTGTGAATTCATTGTTTCATTTACTGTTTACAGTGTGAGCGTATTTCCTTTGTATTCAGGCTTCTAGTCCTATGGCCTTTCTGAATTCAGATTTTTGTGGTTCCAAAATATCATAGTAAACCCTACTTTTATCAAAGGTGTCTCTGATGTAAAGCAGGTCTTCTATGAAGTACTCATCTTGCCTTCCTGTCCAAACAGTCAGACTGTACCTGTTTTAACAGAGTTATTAAAATTACTTAGAGCACAAAACACACAGAAAAGACTACTAGGACTTGTATCTTAATGTCAGATACAATTACATATAAAACACTGACAGATGGTAAAGTTAGAAATTCAAGCACTGAAGTTAGGAAATAACAGAATTAGGGTTGTTTGGGCACTGTTAATACTTGCGCACTTGTGCCTGTGCAATTTGATGCAGTCTTTAATTACATGATCACATACTATTTTTCCCACCGGACCACAAATACAGATGATGCTCAATGGTAGCTAGTCAATATTTCTTTTTGTGCTAACCATTCTATCCCTGCTAAGTAATTCAAACCAAACATTTAATAAGTGATTAATGATAGTGTTGGGACAGTTTCTGGAAGTTTATCTTGAGATACCTGGAGCTGTATTTGCCATACTCCTGATGCTTACTGGGAAAACTGAATCCAATTGGCGTTATGCATTATTCATATATAGTGCCATAAAATGCTACATACTATGAAAAAAAGATCAGCTCCTTTAAAAACTACTTGCTTGCAAAATCAGAAATAAAAATACAAGAGTGTCAAAGAATACTATTACTGAAAAAATGCCTACTTTCTTATTTTTAGTATGTCATTATAAAATAAATCAACTGGAATAAACACATTTTACTTTCATTTCAGTGTATATCACACAGAGCAGTTTAAACAAATCATTGTATGAAATTTTAGTTTATACTGACTTTTCTAATGCTTTTTCTATAATCTATTGTAAAACCAGGCAAATGGTTATACGAGCTGATGTACTGATTAGTTAAAGTTTAACAAAGCAATAAATAATTAAAACAAAGTATTATGAAAAAGGTTATGCAATCTTAACTATAGTGGTTTTAATCGCACAAGAACTGCAAAGCTATATGATTAATTGAATTTATTATCCACCTGGACCACCTCACCAATACTTTTGTCTGTCCTGAATTTATTCTAACCTTTAAAAGAAGACACACACACAAAACCATTATATATATATATATAAAAAAAAGTGAAATATATTTTTCTTCTACACCAGGGATGGGGAACCTTTTTAGGGTCACGGGGCACTGAAAAATCAGTCAGCGGCTGGAGGGTTGGGGGAAGGTGACAGTGTGTGCTCTTCAATGCTGGGGGAGGCCCTAAGCCTCAGGAGCCAGATTCAGGCAATCCAGAAGCTGCATCTGGCCCCCAGGCCTTAGATTCCTCACCCCTGTTCTACACCTATAAATGTGTAAATCTTTACCCTCCCACCACTCTCCAAAATTATATTGGCCAAACACCCAAGATGGTCAATATTCTGTCCTGTATCAAATGACAGATTTAAGATTTGTTATCTTGTGACACTGAAGAGCTCTTCAAGGCAGAGCAAAGTTAAATAAAGAATTAGCAAATAAAAACCCATCAGGTGAACTGCTAAAAAGTTATAAGAATTGAAGAAAATGGCATGTGTTGAATCATGGCGACATGCCCAGAACTGTTCCTTTGGAATTGGGTGAGTAAAAGGCAACAAAAACAAAAAGACTAATAACATCAACGTTAATAATAATGAAACTTCACACATTTGCAAGTTGGAGTCTTTCAACAATCCAAAGTCCTGTTTACATATGGTGTGGTATTTGTTGACTTCCTGCACCTTGTAACTGAACTAAACCCCAACTAAACATCGGAACTCCTGACAACAAACTCTGATGTAATGTTATTTGGGATATAAATGTGAAGTAAATAAGGTTCATTTTATAAGCAATAAAATGTACTTAGAGTATTGTACAGTAAACTTCCGATAATCCGGCCCTTTAGGACCCAGGGGGTGCCGGATTATCAGATATGCCGGACTATCAGAAGGGGGGGCTATGAGGGGTCTGGAGTGCGGTGGGAGGGGATGCCACCCCCAGATCCCTCATAGCCCCCCCCTTACGATAGTCAGGCTCTGCCCCAGGAGTCCCTGATTCAGCCGCTGCTGGTCAGTTTCAGCAGTAGCTGAATCGGGGATGCCTCCTAGAGAGCAACAGACATG